GCATCGGAGTGATTGACATGGAATGCCTTGGTTTTGCTCTTTAGATTGAGAGGTTTCCCTGATCAAAAGCGGGGAGCTTGCTCTTAGCTGTCCATTTTGAACGCCATCTGCTACGATGGAGTTCGTGATCTTCTTCTATTTGTTTTTTTCCGATTGGATGGAAACTGATTAGCTGACACTAAAGTTGAACAAACAAACTGGGGGTGGGTGGATTGGGGGTGGGGGCTGTAATTGGTTAGCATGTGAGGCTTATTGAGAATCCGCTGCCCTTTCAATAACTGTAACATAATTATGGATAGTTTCCGAAAGCATTGGCATCATGTAAATTTATATAACTTGATGGAAAAGTACAGGTTTTGAGAGTAATTTTAGATTTGAATTGTTAGATGTCTTGGGGTGGAGAATTTAGTTCACATCTTTTACATTGTCGAAAATCATTCAACGAGTTTTGACAGAAGGAACTTGTTTTGATATGAGGTGTTTTGTGTAGAATACTGTTAAATATCACCCAGTTCAGAGTAACAACCACAAAGGGGTAGGATGATGGTCTTAATAATTCCTTCAAAAAATATATCAAACTGGCAGTTGAATGTGCAATTTGAAGATAAGCGATCAATAATGATCTTCATTTTCTATGAAGCTGGAAAAACTGTATCTCTAGTAGTTGTTTAGTTTTTTACCTTTTAATTGTTGAAGAACATAGAACAACCTTCTCAATACAGACGTGGCGGTGGTAGTTATAAATTTTTTAACATATATATTGAAATTGAATTACAAGTTTAACCCAAGAAAAAAGTAAATAAAACGTTTCATATTAGATCGAAGGTACAAAAAAGAAAAAAAAAGAAGCAGCCTTCTATGATCAGAAGGTAAACATCTATTCTGTGTAAAGAGTCTCTTGAGTAAGTTCTGTTATTTTACATTATATATGCGGGTTCTATGTTATTTGCGGCTTGAAAGTCCCGTCATTTGTGCTAGTCATAGAGGTGTATCGGTTTTGTGCAATCCCTCCATTTTGCTGGAGTTGATTAAAAAGAATAAGAAAAAAACAATTAAGATCATGTTGTGAATCTTCTCATAACCCTTGCGTGGCTTAAACTTTTGTTTCTATTCCCTCGTTCACTTTTTATCTGCCTGATCTTATATTAGTTTTTCCTTATTTTAGATTTTTGTACCTACTTTTAGATTGAATTTGTATTTCTTTCTCGTGTTCAATTACTAGGCTAAAGTTGTGATGTATTACTTGTTCCTAAGGAATTCTGCTAGTGATAATGAATGTCTAAAGTTCTAGTAGAAGAAACCAACTTCTTGGTGGTAAAAAAGTGTGTAATATAATCTTTGAATCCTGAGTTTGAATATTGTATCTTTCAATGTAATGTCTTTAGGAGCTCCAAATTTTTGCTATTTTTATGGTATTTCGTCTTTCTAGTTTTCTAGGACCAATCTTATATTAAAATTAGTACTCCTTTGTTTTGGAGGGAGAATTTCTTTACGTGCATGAAACCTTGTATAATTTTTGGTTTTAGTGAAGTTGATAAATTTGATATTGTATGCATTTTCTGTTGTTCTTCTCTTCGTAAGCACTCTCTCATATAGATTCTTCGTTATCTTAATTTTTCCTTCTCTTTGTGACATTTACTTCCAGATTGTTCTACTCATGTTTGTGAATTATTCTTTCTTTTATACAATAAAAAAATCTGTGTTCGTTAGTGATCTGGGTAACTTAAACTGTATAGAGGAGGCAGCAAGATGTAGATGAATGTAACTACAGATTTCATGCTGACATTGATAATTCTTGCATGAATTTGATCTGTCAATATTGATTGAGTTGCGAATGTGATAGAGTGAAGGGATAAATTACTAAATTAGGCTTTGTTATTTTGGACATGTTCTCCAACTCTAATTGTTGTTTAACTCTCACGTTCAATGGTGCACCTTCTCGGAGGCATTTTATCGTTTGTAAATCACTTGATTGAGACCTACTTGCTTTCACACTTTTGCTAAGCTAGGGTGGATAAACATGTGGGACAAAGATAACTTACTATTTAGGAGTATGATAGAGAGAAGTAGATCTTTGTACCGTCCCAAAAGGATCACTTGCCTGTACTCTTTGTCATGGAAGAAACAAACAGAAAAGCTCGCAAAAGCAAGATCTGAGTATCTGAGTAATAGTTGAAAACTTATTTCTGATTTTTTGTTCTTTTAGTATCGAGGAACTTTAATTTGATTTCTATATTGTGTTTCTAGTTGGGTTCAGGGACTGCACTCCTTTATCACTTGAAATTGTTGATTTCTAAACAAATCCCAAATATACAACTTCTAGATAGCGTTTATTAATGCATACGGTTAAAGAAAACTATTGACCTTCTCAACTTAGAGTAAGGCTTCCATTTACATCTGTTCTAGATGCCTGTGACTAAGCATGATAACAATCAATGTGAAACCTTCACAATTTCCATTCTAGTCATTTAGAAGCTGTTATCTACGTGGTAGTACCAGTTTGTGATTCCTGGTGTTACTCTGGCCTCTATTGTGACTTGTGTGGTGCTCGTATTATACGATTCCGTAATCTTTGAATATCCATATTAGTGCACCGCTTCTGTTTATCATGGCTGCATCCTTATAGGTTAATGAATTATTTAAGTTATTTAATGTAGTTAATGTTTCCTTCGTCAATTTACAGGATTATTGTATGAAATGCTTCGATCAGCCAAGACAGGGGACTCAAAGTCAAGTTGGAAGGTAGGAGCAACTTGTATGCTGAATATCTCTTACTTTCTCAAATCTGATAAAGGTTTGCAGGGTTTGGCTAAAAGGACTGCTAGTGCTTGTCTTTATGTTTATGGGTTTAAGTCAGAACGAATCTATTTCTTTGCCAAGGAGCTGTTTAGTGCTTAATGCCTTAAGTGTCTATATCAGAGAAGTCACCAATATCTTCGGGAATTCTCTGAGATCTATCCTTACAAGTTCACCAAACTGATATAAACAGCATTTTGGAAAATCATTCATCCATACTAGTACACCTATAATAGATCATGGATATATTTTATTTGGGGAGCAAGTGTTATGGAGTGGCTCTTTGATCAGATTTGATAAGGTTCTCAGTTTAGTTTTATCTTTCCTTCCAAAGGGCGAATATCAATGTTTTAACATTTGACATTCTGAACCAATTTAATGTTCTTGCGTTTTAGGGATCTAGATTGAACTATTTTTCTTGTCTTTCTTCTTTGACCCAGGGTCAATCTAAATCTTTTGATATCATTCAAATTCTATCAGGTCCCAAGGTTTTCTGAATCTGAAACCATTAGTTGCGATTGCGTTAATAGAGAAATTTGCTCGCCTTACTTGTTAGACCCAATATCTCTATTTTTGCGTTACTTTTAAGATGTAAAAGTTTTTGCCTCATGTCTCCAGCTTATCGCTAAGTGCAGTATCCATGCCAAGTTTGTCCATGCCAGAACAAGCTCAAAATGGAAATTGTCCTGTTTGAATCATCACAACCAATAGGAGATTATATTAATACTGTTTATCCTTGTTTTCTGTATAAAGACATCACTCCACTTTAATTTCATATGCACTATCTTGTAATATCCCTTGCCATTGTTTATTCCTTTACTCATTTACATTTTGATTTTGTTACCTTCCAATTTTGACATTCCGACATGTAGGTACTCATCATGGACAAGGTAACAGTTAAAATAATGTCTTATGCGTGCAAGATGGCAGATATTACAGATGAAGGAGTATCATGTAAGAAATAAAAGGGCAGTCCCAGAGAAAATTGTATCTTTCTTCTTTTCATCCCTTGCTTTTGTTATGTTTTTGACCTCTATGATGATAATATTTTCAATATGGTTGGTCAGGTTTGGGATATTTCTCGTACATGCTTTATTTTCATGAAACATTGAAATTTCTTCAAAATGTTCCAATTAAGTATATGTACTTGGAATATACTACCTCCTACAATAAGTATTCATTTTGTGTTGTGAACTAGTCAACTTGACTTCTTGACTATTTTTGTGAATACAGTATCCTGTAATTCGATTATTTATTAAGAAAATGTGCTGAAACTATTAAACATAGAAATTGATTTCATGTCCTTAAATACAGTGCTAGAAAATAACATAATAAATCAGTTGGAAGATTGGATAAGTTTGATATGATTGCACTAACTCGGCGATTATTTGAAACTAGCAGTTTTTCGAACATCGTTTAAAACCGTTAAATCAAACTATAACATTCAAATTGCGATCGAGCGGGTAATATACAACTTTCTGAAAAAAGCTATGTAGTAAGAAGTGACTTCAAGTACATCTTCATCTCTATATAAACGGTTTCATCAAATATTTCAGGTATTAATAATTTTTATTACGGTTACTTTTCTTTTGTGCCTTTTCTGGCATATCTGGTCTTAGCTAAATGGCATAAACCACTTAGCTACACAATAGATATCCTTGTTGTATTAGTTTCTGTTTTACGCATGTTCCCAAGTTTATGCCCTCCATACGTTTTTAAGAATCTTTGGTGTTACCTAACTTCTGCTGTAAGCATAGTCTTTGATTATCTTTGTACTTGATTATGAATGTTTGTGAAGGTGTGGTGACGTCTTTATTTCTTAATTATGCGGTTCATGATAAGTTAGTGGATCCATTCTATGTTAGATATTTGTGCATAACCTGTGTAATAGTCCAGCTTTGGTAGAACATGCATGTTATAAACTATCATTGTCTGTTTGGAGATAGAGAAGTAATCATGTTCCATTACCTGCAGTGGTGGAAGATATACACAAGCGAAGACAACCACTACCAGCCATGGATGCCATATATTTCATACAACCTACCAAAGAAAAGTACGAAACTTTCACTCACTATTGTCTATTTTTAAGTTTTGACATCTTGTGCTAGTAGTATTTTATGGGGTTGAAAAGTAAAATTTGAGCTATCCAATGATTTTAGAGCATCCTAATAGATATTTAATTTATTTTTTGCATGAAACTGTCTGAAGTTTTGAAAAAGCAAGTATATTGGATGACTGAAAAGAGTTTGTGATGAAGTGAATCATTATGTATACGCACCCCTTGTTACCATCTCTCCCTATCTATCCGTGTGTATTTTTTAGTGGATATCACTTAACTTGTACGTATAATATATTATTTCTTGGCCACTTGTTGACAATTTGTCGGCATAATAGCAGAATTTCTAGAACTAGTGGCTTATAAGAAGATCATTTGATGCCATAATTGTGCTTATCTTGTGAGGCGCAAGTTCATCTCTCTCTGCGTTCCTTGAAGTTGATTCATTTCGTCCATTTTGTTCCATAATAAAATTGTAATTGCTCACATTAAATTAAGAAAAAAAGTATAGGCAATTTATGGTTGTAACTGAGAAGAACTATTCTTATTTGTTGGTGAGAAGATTTGGGCCAAGGCTAGGAATTTTGCAACACAGAGGATACACTTATTCTGTCGGTTCTGTATTTCTGATTTAGTTGCAATTAAAATGGGAACTTCTAAATGAATTTTGCCACATGAAAGCATTAGGTCCAAACAAGTGCATGTGATAAATGTTGTATACAGATAAACAGAGGTACGAGGCGTGACACCTCATCGGGCGAATTTAGAGTTATGACAGGTGTTATGACAGGTAGCCTGAAATGCATGTCACTTAAGAAAGAATGACAAAAGGATGCAGCATCTAGGTGGTCACTATGGAACACTTAATTTAGTCTATATATATATAAGAACATAAGACATTAAACAAAAAGTATACACTTACTCAATATAAGGGCCTCACGGGATCAGGATTTGTTTCTCCTTTTTGAAAATTTTGTAGAGAAGGCAATTATGTTAGGAATTTCTACAAAATATGCACTAATGTTTAGATTTTATGATATCAAAGAAAACTAGAGAAATCAAGTTTACTAAAGGCCTCCTAGTACCTTTAACATATGCACGTTTAAATTAGTTAATAGAGTATGTATATTAAAGTTCCCCCCGATTTGGTGTCTTGGATCCTTATTTCAATTTTAATTGATCATCATTTCTGCAATATATGCATTATGTACTAATATGCATGTTTTATGGCGATAAACTATGTGTGTGTATACATTAGCCCACACTTGATCTAAGAATGTGAATTTGTTTGCATATATGTGCTGTCTGATGCTGACCTCACTCCTGTTCTTGCATGTCTTGGATCCATATTTCACTTTTAAATGATTATCATAACTCTTATTTTCATGTTCGACGGTAATGAACAATTTGTGTACAGTAGCCCATACTTCACCTAATCTAAGAATGTGAATGTTTGAATATATGTGAATTGGACCTAAATCTGCCAAGGAGTGGATAAAAATGGGACTTGTCTCAAAAGTGATTTGTTGGTCTGAAAGGTTCTTTCCTTAGTTCTAATTCCTCTTCACATGGAAGGCGTATTTCACGTGTGTAGTAACCATAGATATGACCATTAGGTGGGTTATTGCTCATTTCAAGAAGGGGATGTAAGGTGGCAAGCAAGGTGTTCCATGTATCTCCATGTCTGAGTTGTGTGTTTATTGGTGGTATGTGCCTCTATGCACTACCCGAAATTGTACCTTATGATGTTTGTTTCCATTTTTGGATATTAATAGGAATCTCTTACATAATACCTTGGGGATGCTGAAAAAGAAGGCACTTTACGCGAGTAGAGAGTGTTTTCTCTAGATAAATAGGTCATAGAAATATTTTTTGTGTGTAGCGCAAATTGATGTCTTTCCTAATCCTCGGATGACGGGCGCAATCGTCATTTGTATCTTGACATAACAAAAGATCCTTGTTTAATTTTTTCTAATTATTAAATATGTTTTTAGAATCCTTACGTTAGTATTTAATGAAGCATGAAAATGGCCGGAGAAAATGATACCTTATCCCTTAGGAAAGAGATAGATATTAGTTTGATTGTTACTCTTGATAAGTATGAGAACGGCAGAAAAACTCTAGTCATATAAGCCTCTTAATTTGGGACATGTCTCTCCTAGTTGAGCCACAAATCATACTTCAAATTTGAGATGTTTGAATATCTTGCATAAATTATTGAATTTGCTGCTTAATATGCCTTTCTTGCAACTGGGTCACCTATCGAAAGAGCGATTTGTTTCTTTTTTGTCCTGCTACCATCACAGTATTAATTTCTTGCAATTGAATTTGCTGTTTAATATCTTGTTTCTTTCTTGTTCGGTTGTATGATCTGTCACACCTTACCTGGCCCCATTCATAGGATGTATGTTGTTTGCAGATTTTTATCCTTGTCTTAACTGCCTATATTTCTCCTAACTAGCATGAACTACAAGGCTTTATTTTGATTCCTAGTTTGATTCAGTAAATGTAACAACCATTCAACTATCATTCGTTGAATTTGGATGGAGATAAAAAATACCATCCTGAAGCGATATTGGTAAACAAATTATTCATTAGTTCAGTGCACTCTTGTATGTATCAGATGAACCCATTACATGTTAGTTTACCAATATCCTTTTAATTTATAATTTATTGTAGCTGACACCCCTCCCTTTCTCTCTACTTAATCGGATCAATCTTTCTTCTTGAAATTCATGTTTTTATATTTGTTTTTTTCCTTAACCCTCTCATCATGTTTTCATCTGTTGTTTTTCTTGATATGCAGCATTGTTATCTTCCTCTCTGATATGTCTGGAAGGTCGCCATTATACAAAAAGTATGTCAAGTATTTGATTATTTGTTTTCTGTTCTTCTCTACAGTTTTATGGCATCTTTCTGCCTCACCTTCTCGAGTTACCTGAAACAATCATTCAGTAAATTATTTCCTGTGACTCATATCTCTTTTCCTACTTTTGTTCTGCCATTAGGGCGTTCGTCTTCTTCAGCTCACCTGTTGCCCGAGAATTGGTTAATCACGTTAAGAGAGATGGAAGTGTTTTATCTCGCATCGGTGCATTGAGAGAGGTTATCATTACAATTTATTGTCTTTTTCCTTCTTCTTCTTTGATACAAGCTTTATACCATAGACCTAGGTTTGGGCTTTATTCTGATTTTAAATTTGAAATCTACAGATGAACTTGGAATATTTTGCCATAGATAGCCAGGTGCGTAATCCTTCATATTTGTGTGGATTTATTTTCTCTTCTCTAAGAAGAAGAGTGTCCATATTTTTGTGGCATAATTTAAGGAAAGAACGTGTGAAATTGGAGATGCTAATGCTATATAAAAAGGCGACGGAACATGGTTTTATCCTATTCTTTTTGTGGATATGCATACATCTAGACAATACTTCCAATTTTTCTTACTTAATTCGTGGATATGTCTACGTTTAGATAGGTTTCAGTCTGTTTCCCGCCCTTTCTGTTAAGTTTTAAACTGTTCGTGTATAATCACAGGGTTTTATCACTGACAATGAGAGAGCCCTTGAGGACCTCTTTGGGGATGAAGAAAGCTCTCGCAAAGGTGACGCATGTTTGAATTTGATGGCTAACCGCATAGGTACAGTATTTGCATCATTGAGGGTACGTGATTTAAGTTATGAATGTCGGCTCAACACTAGTGGGAGTAGAGTTGAAGCCCTTTATAATATTTTAATGTCACAGGAGTTTCCATATGTACGCTACCGTGCTCCCAAATCCCTCGATCCTACTACAATGACAACTTTTCGTGATCTAATTCCTACAAAGCTTGCTGCTGGTGTTTGGAATTCTCTTATGAAATATAAATCCAACCTCCCTAACTTCCCCCAGTCTGAGACATGCGAGCTTCTTATTTTAGATAGATCGATAGACCAGGTTTCCAGCTAATCTTCATGTACAGTCATTTTCATATCAAAATCCTTATTGGGTCCTTATCATGTACAATATTTTTATATTTCCCATGCAGATTGCTCCAGTTATACATGAATGGACGTATGATGCCATGTGCCATGATTTACTTAACATGGAAGGGAATAAATATGTCCATGAGGTAAAGCCTCTATAAATTTTATAGCATATTGTTGCATAGTTGTTTTGAAATTCCTTGGCCACTTTCAGTAACTTCAAGTAGTGATATTGCTCAGATCCCAGGCAAAAATGGTGGTGTTCCTGAGAAGAAGGAGGTCCTTTTGGAAGATCATGACCCTATCTGGCTAGAGCTTCGGCATGCACATATAGCTGATGTATGTAGCATGCAGAAGCTTTCAATTCGTTTTTAAGTATTTGGTTTTGAAGAGAGTCTATATTGTCGTGTAAAAAAGGAAAAATCTCTGATCAATATTAACTTGTCAGGCTAGTGAACGGTTGCATGAGAAGATGACAAACTTTGTATCAAAAAATAAAGCTGCACAAATACATGGTTCAAGGTTGGTTCTTTATGCATCTTAGTACATTTTGGTACTTCCCTGAATGAAATGAAATTCTTTAGAATCTAATGTGAACTCTAATATAGAAGATTACTTAGCACTACATAAATCTCGATACTAGAGAAATTTATATTAAAATATCTGAACTTATCTCCATGAAAACATTAAATATTGTATCATATCGAACGAGGGATGTTATACGTAGTTCCAAGAGTCCACCAACTATCTCTGTTCATGTAAGAGTTAGTTGCTACTGATTGGTATGCTGAGCTGTCCGACTGTCATGAATTCCTAATTGTTTTTTAAAATTGTTTCGCTGGCTAGTATTTATGCATAATTGTTCTCTCCTGTGTCTTATTATCAAGGACTATGAGTTCTGTTACCTGCTAGATGGATTCTTTCTAATTTTTGAATATCTTATTTTTTTTAATTGATCTCTAGCATTTTCAATCTAGTAGTATAGGTTGAACCCATAACAATTCTAAGGATATCAAAATTTTCTTTTATTGTCTGTTGGTTATTGTATCTTATGTAAAAATTATGTGCAGAGATGGTGGTGAATTGTCTACTCGGGATTTGCAAAAGATGGTTCAAGCTTTGCCTCAGTATAGTGAACAAATTGAAAAGCTCTCGCTCCATGTTGATGTGAGTCTTGCCTTTTCCATTTCCATCTTTTAGCTGTCATACTTTGTCAATGCTTGATTTTAAATAATTTTATTGGCACAAAATTATGGCTGGATTAATCTTCAAAAAGTATGTATACTAGTTTATTAATTATAATAAATATCTGCTTTGGGCTTATTTACCAAGGGATTAATTTTCTGTCTATCATGTATTCTTATGTAGTTTTATGGCACTTCACATACACCATGGCTTAAGTCCTACCGATGCTTAGTAAATTGAAGATCTTAATCAAATACCATATCCGACTTTTATATACTCCCCACAAAGTGGAAAAAGCTTTTGGAAAGATCTGCCTATACTTCAATTGTGATATGAAAATATAATTGAACCATTATGTTGCTGAATTAATTATCCTCTTGAGATATGTTCTGAAATTTAGGTTTATTTATCACAATAAAAGTCTAGGCTTAATCAATTTCTCGGAGAATTAATTTAATTTACCTTTTGTTACTGAGTCAAGAAATTGTGTAGTGCATGTCATAATTTGGTAGCAAGACACCTTTAATCAGTCCCAAAAAACTATTAATTGCTACATTAAGTATTGTACTTCGTGAACTTATAATTGATTAGCTTATAGCTCGTATGTAGAAAGTTTACAGTTTACACTCATTAAGGGTCTAACGAGTTTCGGATAGTAGATAATTTCTTCTCATTGATAATAATAAACCTGAGCAATAAAGTAAAGAAATAGAAGCGAGGAAGCCTAATCAAGTGGTTTACAAAAAAATAGGAAAAACAATCCTAATTGATCTGTCAAAACTTTGTTGAATAAGATAAGTAAAAATCCCAATTACTTTCCTAATGTTGAAAAATAGCGACAAGAAATATGTATTTATCATCGTAAAAATATCTGAATTAGATCTTTTTCTTCTTTTCAATTAGCTAATTTTATTTTTCTTCTATAGATTGCAGGAAAAATTAACAAAATTATCCGGGAAACGGGGCTTAAAGAAGTTGGCCAACTAGAGCAGGATCTTGTGTTTGCAGACGCGGGAACAAAAGAACTGATTAATTTTCTTCGAGTTAAAGAGGTGACCGTTTTATTCTTCTTTTTCCTCTAAACATTGACAAGGATATTTGCTGATCTATAATCAACAACTATTGGCAGGATGTATCGCGTGAAAACAAATTGCGATTATTGATGATTTACGCAGCTGTTTATCCTGAGAAGTTTGAGGATGACAAAATATCAAAATTGATGGAGGTTAGTGTTATTCCTTACCGTTTTTCAATATGGCAGCCATGCGCTATGTGTTATCACGTGCAAATGTGTATTATGGTCAGGCTCAACTGCACATGCTGTGCCACAACTTAGTTTTGCCCTTTCGATATAATTTAACAGTATGCATTAGCTTTAGGTCAACAGTGTAAGTAACTCAGAAGTATTGCAATTTTATCAGATTCTTGATTATTTTGGGATCTAGAAACAACTAACAAAGTCTAATTCCTGAAAATGATTTGGACCATCTTTGTCGCCATCTACACATCAAAGATCAACAGTCAGTCTATCGAGCTAAAAATTTCTAATTTCTATTACATTAAACTCCTGCTTTTAACCCATATGTTCCAAGAGCAGTTGATTTAGCCCAAAAATATATTGGGCCTGAAGATAATTTAGTGTTAATATATCTGGTCTTTTGTTGGCCTAACTTGTTATGGTGGAGATAAATAATTATTTTGGTGCATAGCTAATGCATTCTATGTTGCATACGTCCGCCAGTCTCATCGAGTACTGTAGTCAGCATGGCTTTCTATGTTCATCATGGACAAAATTCATCCCCAGTAATTACTTCAATTCTTTCAGATTCTTTTTATTAATCCCCTCGCTTATTCATTTACTTGGCAGAATTTGAATGTTGAGTTAAAAATACTTTTTCTTGATTTGCTTATTCATCCTTGCAAGTTGGGTTATGCAAATTTCAGCAGTGAGACGTATTATCATAACTAACATCTTTATGCATGTACTCCAGTTGGCTAGACTATCACCGGATGATAGGACTGCTGTTTACAATATGAGACTACTAGAGGCATCATCAGAGACCAAAAAAAGCTCAATTGTGCCATTTTCACTTAAGTTTGATGCCCACAAGGTACTCGGCATATTGTCAAAATAATTATGATTTCTATGTAATCCATGCATCAGACATAAAAAATAATTTTTTATGTTTCCTTGTTTGCAGAAGAAGCACGCTGCTCGAAAAGACCGGCCTGGTGAAGAAGTTAAATGGCAGTTATCACGTTTTTACCCTATGATTGAGGTTTAGTATAAATCTGTTTTCACTTTGTCATGTAGGACATGTTTATCTCGTGTTTGATTTGGATGAATAATACAGCTTTTCTCAATACGAGGACATGAATTGTTGGCTATTTTATGTGACTAACAGATTGATAACAGAATAAAAAGATTAAGGATAAGCTATAGGAATTCCTTCGTCCTATATGTGAGATACGGAAGAAGAAAATGTGGTAACCACTAGATCTCCCATACGCATCACTTTGAGGAATAAAATTGTTTCACCCAATCAAAAAGACATCAGTGCTTGCATAAACAATTAATTCTATATTTATTAGGGATCCGATATTTTATATTTAGATTAGTTGCCTACAAAACTAACAGTAACAGCCAAATACGACCGAAGTATTCTGAAAGAGTCAATGTTTGGAAGAGTTTTGGGGCTCATTTCCATTTTGTTTTGGGAATAATATATTCAATTGTCTGTTATGAAAAGGTGGAACTTCAAAGATAACAAGATTCAGAAATGTTTGTTCGTTTTTGTTGTCATCCCGTGCAATTTTTTTGGTTGTGATTAGTCTCTAATTTGCAGTTCGAAGTGTTTTATGTTGTCACCCTGCTTTCAACTATCAACTGTATACTAACATTTTCTTGTTTCCTTGCAGGAGCTTGTTGAAAAACTTAGCAAAGGCGAACTACCTACGAATGACTATCCATGTATGAATGAACCCAGCCGTTCATTTCATGGTACCCCTGGGTCTCCGAGTGCATCTCTAAGGACAGGTCAAGTTCCAGCTCCTCATTCAATGAGATCGAGAAGACCGTCAACGTGGGCCCGTCCTCGAAATTCTGATGATGGTTATTCTAGGTATCTTATGTAATTTCGCTTCCGTTGTTTCATTGACAATTTTTTTCTTTTTGTGGGTCCATACACCTTAAATTTGGCATCATCTCAGACTTTTTATTCTTTGTTGTCTTGCAGTGATTCAATTTTAAGGCATGCCTCTAGTGATTTCAAAAAGATGGGCCAACGAATTTTCGTGTTCATTGTTGGCGGGGCGACACGTTCTGAGGTAACATTTTCAGATTTCTTTTCCTTCTCTATCCGTCTTTGGGAATATCAATATTGACTTCTCAATTTTTCTTTCTCTTTTGCAGCTAAGAGTTTGCCATAAGTTATCAACAAAGTTGCAACGAGAAATTGTCCTTGGGTCGTCGAGTATTGATGATCCCCCACAATTTATCACGGTACAAACCTTCATTCTTTTTTGCATGTACACCTTGTCCCCATTTGTGCATTATTGAAGACCATGCAAGCTATTGTGCAGTAAAAAACGACTCCTTAAATACGATTAATCCTCTTGTTTTGAGCTGTGAAGAAATATCAACCCACTAAAACAGAATGTATGTTAAATGTGATATTTAAGATGGAATGCATATAATAAATTACTGGAAAATCTAAGAGGGTGGAATCCAATGCTGAGCTGGCCTATAAAATTTTACTTCGATTCTTTAAGTAAATGTGTGTGGATTAGAAACATGTATTGTTGTACGTCTCCGAGTTTAGATTCATTTGTGTGGTACTTGTTGTTTGCAGAAGTTAAAGCTGATGGCTGCAGACGAATTGTCATTGGATGATCTTCAGATATAAGATGTCTATCACCTGGTAAATCTCGATATGCAATATTATGTTGCCCTGCTTTCAAATTTGTTAATCATATATCGATTCATAGTTAAATGTGCTCTCTGTCCTTTTTTAATTTGATGTTTGCCGTTTCTCTGCCCACAGAGTCGTTCGATGTCAGTGTCTTGTAATTTATTGCTTGTGAAATTGTTCAACAATCCACGGTGTGTATAAGTATTCTTTCAGTTGCTGCAAGAATCGAAATATTTCAATATCGGATAACTTTTTAACTGTTTAAGTTTCTATCAATCATTTTCTCTCAGCCCTTTTGTATTCACTATTCCATTTCTACACTTGAATAAGGTCTCAAGGATTCAATTTTATTTTTTCTGGCATTAGATTTTAGGAATATATATTTTATTATGGTAGGAAATCTCTCATTTGCAAGTTGGTATGGTATATAGGTAAGCGGAAATCCATGTAAGTCTAGAGAAGAATTCTACTCTATGGTTCGGTTTGTTAATTATTGAATTAGCACAAAAGCTATCATTGTAATTACATTTTTTATTTTTTTTATTTTTTTTACTTTTTTATTTTTAGTTAGTAATTCATAAATGAAGTATAAACATAATATTATACATAGAAATATGTGTAAAAGAATGCATTTTAAAATATTTTTTGAACAATTTGTATTCTTTACGAATTGCTAAATTATTTTATAAATGAATACATAAATATTTGTAAAATAACCTATTTAATCTAGCTCTTTTGTTTGGTGACTGTGGGATAGTAATACATGAAATGAAATGTAAATTATAAGAATAGAAATACAAAGAAGATAATTACAGAGAGACAAATTTCTTAGAGAGTTAATTGTGGATAGTTAGAGCAATTTTAATGAGTTATTAAACATGGTATTCAAACTTTTAACCACCATTTGAATACTAAAAGATAGAAATTTTTAATTCTAAAAAGGGTTCTATTTTGATAGTTCACATTTTGGGATTTAAATATACTTAACGGAAATTGAGTTATCATAAATATAACAATCTAACCATCCAATCACAAGTTGACATGTGGCAAATACAAATAAAATTATCCATAAACTTTTAATAGATAATTAATTTGATAACCATGGTTGGAGTAAATGAATCTTAATCAATATTAAAATATTATCTCAAATATCAAATAAATATTTGATAATTCAATTTTGATATTTTGGCATTGGAGTTGCTCTTAGAGCAGCTCTAATGGAGTTATTATATGAGTTATCAAATCTCTTAACTACCATTTGACTCCTAAAATTTAAAGGGACTATTAGTCATAACTCCCTCTAGTGTTTTTTTAATAATAGGGGATCTAGCCATATTTTCAATATTGGTAGGAAACCCACTATTTTAATTAATCCCGAAAATAGCCTTTTTGGAGCCACGTTATTTCTAAACAAAAAATCACACGAAATCAGGAAAATAAACCGCTGAAATCGTGTGAGATTTTATCCCCAAAATCTCGCTCTCCCAAATCTTTCCATAACTCCCACTGTAAAACCTAAATCTGCTAAACGACTACGCCGGCGACAACCTATGGCTCAAAAATTCGAATTGCTGCCAAATTCCTGAACTCACCCACCAAAATCCGCGAAACGAGAATATTGCACCGTTCCCTGGGTAAAAAAAATAGGCGATGAAGCTACAAAATAAGTGAAATATTTGAAGCAATGGACACCAACGCACCGCAATCGAAAAATAAAGCAGACGTATGCGAGCAGTAAGTATTCCAATTGAAATAGTCATGTTCATTAACATTCTATCTTCGATTCTACCAAGAAACACCATCTACAGATGTATTTGTTTAACATTTTGTTTTTGTGAACAGGAGAACGCAGGACAAAAGCATTGAACGACATTCGGCAAACCGACGCAGGTAATTAATCTATTATTCTTGCTAGAATTAGTGGGCTTTGTATGTAGAACTTGTTCAGCCAAAAAATCACATAACACGCTGTGAAACACAATAGACTATTTGACTGTTTGTCTTGAATGTTCCTAGAGTATTAATTCGACTATTTGTTTTGAATGTAAATAGACTATTCTGTAAATAGTTCATTGCGAATTCTTGACTGTGAAAATCGTGGGCTTGAGTTTATTTATGGGGAAATTATTATAATTTGAAATAGATGAATTTGTTAAATAGTTGTTTTATAATTAGCTAAAATAGAAATAGTTGAATCTTACATATATGGTTTTGTTGGTATATAGTTGAAATAGATGACTTTGAAAAAAACAGTGTAATCCTGTTTGAGTATACTGCAAACAGACTATTTTGTAAACAATTGCTTGTAAATTATGTAATTGTAGAATATATGACTGTATCGTAGATGTTTGTTTAAATAGTTCATTAAGAATTGTTATTAATCTGTTATTCTTGCTGGAATTAGTGGGCATTTGTATGTAGAACTTGTTCAGTCAAAAAATCGCACGACACACTGTGAATCAAAATAGTCTATTTGGCTGTTTGCCTTAGATTGTTATTTGAATATTAAATGGACTATTTGTGTTAAATATTAATAGACTATTATGTAAATAGTTCATTAGAATGTAAACAGACTATTCTGTAAACAGACTATTCTGTAAATTGACTATTCTTTAAATAATTGGATTTTAAATGAAGCATGTTAGAAAGGTTGATACCTTAAATTGTTTCTTTGTCAATATTGTAACTTAATTGAATTTTTCCATTAGACATTGTTTTTAAATTACAAGAAAATACACCTTTAACTTACATAATGTACAATTTCAGAAAAAGGCCTCCCGAAAAAAACAGCAGAACATCACAACCTGATACTCGTTTGTCCAGAAGAGCAAATCGTTTCACTCGCTGAAGCGCCACAACAAAAGGATGATAGTGTTGACTGCGGTGTGGTGGTTTTGTATCTGATTAAAAAACTTTTCGAGCAACAACCAATCATAAAGGACAAAGCTGAATCAGAATACCCAGCAATGCTAACTAGAGTTGTGCAAACTTTTCTAGATTGGGGAAGCAAAAATATGAATTTTAGTAAAAACATCGCTTGATTATTTTAGTTCAATGTAGTTGTAAATTTGCGTAGAATCTCTTTTTTCGTATGATATGTTGACATATTATTACTTTTGGGTGAAGTTATTTTTTGAGCAAACTTTTAGTTTAATGTAGTTGTAAACTTGCGTAGAATGTTTTATTTGGTATTTTATGTTGATGGTGTTTAATTTATGTAGTGGCTGGTATTGGTTCATAATAGATGTTCATTAATAGTTGTATGCTTTTTTTGTTGCTGAAAGCACAATTGTGTGCTGAAGTGGAAAGGCATAAGCATAAAGATGTTGAAAAACAACTATATGTTATCTAACCAACTATTTCACAGTTCTCATGTCATGACAAAGTGTAATGTTAGTTATATATGTACGTATTTGATACCTAGTTTTCATCTATACACTTTATGAGAACAATTACTTTGAATACAACTATTATTTATAAAAAAAATATAGTTGATAAATTTGTACACTGAACACCATATGTTGATATCATTGCACAAACAAAAGCATATCAGTGAACTGAACTATACTTGAATATAACGTATATTCGATCTATTTAATCGAACTAAACTGAACTATACTAACAATAGTAAACCAGTCAACAACAACCACAAACTTGAAAAACTTGAAAGGCATATATTCGAACTGTTTAGTCAATGTACGAATAAGATTGTACACTGAACACCATAAGTTGGTTTTAAATTGATACCAACAAGTCTATATAACAATAGTTAGTCTATGGAAAACAACTATTTATGTCACATGATAACGAAAACGACTATACAACACACCTAATTTCACACGCACAAATTAACCAACAAAAACATCTACAAAAAATATAACAAAAACGAGTAAAAACAAATATTCAATTCAGTGAAACCACCTAGTTATGTCATGCACAAAAACGACTATTTTAAGTCAATGGAAATTATTTATGTCACGCGACTAAAAAAACGAATATAAAATGAACTACAATTTCAATGGTAATAAAAAATGAATTATGTGACATGAATTCCAGGAAAAAAACACCATTTATATTACATGATAACAAAAACGATTACGAAAAATCTAACATAAAACGACTACAAAAAATACTCAATTCCATCATAGCCCTAATGCCTCCACGCGGAATGAACCAACAAAAACAACTAAAAAAATTTCACATATACGACTATAAAAAAAAATCCAGATTTCAGTGAACTCTAACGTCGCCAAGCAACTGTGAAGCCTGTGGAAGAAACTTTTGCCGCTAATCTGAACAGCATTGCCGGCCAAAATCCTAATGGAGAAGGGGCTCATAACGCCGTTTTAGACTTCCGTCTCGACAACTAGAAGACGATTTGTTGGTTATTGTCGTTGTTGAAGTTTTCGTCGCTCTTCTTCCTGCGATTAAACTTCCAACAGAAAAGGGAGAGAAAAGAGAACTAGCAAGAGAGAGGAAATAGAAAAATAGAGATTCGTATTAATTATGGACCGAGAAATCTGTGATCTCATATCTTCCGTAATATGAAGTTTAGGGATAGATTAGGGATAATACTGGTATAACACTTAATAATTGTATTAATATGAATTTAATTTAATAATTAAGGGGGGTCTCACTAATAGTGAAAAGGGAGTTATATCCACCTTAATATAAGTAAATGAGTTGGGGGGTTCTCACTAATTATTTTAAAATATTTGTTCTCCAAAGGGGTTATTAAAATGGGTTTGTATTTTGATATTTCACCTATTTGATCCTAAAAATACTTCCTGTAGATTGAGTTATCAAACAAATAATCACCTAACCAACCATTCACAAATTAACATGTGACGTTTACATATAAAATTATCAAAAAAATCCAAAATTGATAATAAAATATATTAACCATGGTTGGAGTAGATGAGTTTAAAATAATTTAAAATATTATCTCAAATATCAAATAAGCATTTGATAATTCAAATTTGACATTTACCATTGGAGTTGCTCTTACGGGAAGAGAGATTCTCATTTATAGACGTGTAATCCAACGAAAGTTACAAAGAAACTAAAATGGAAGTTCCAACCACTACAAGGTGT